TGACTAAATAATTTTTTGCCCCACTGTATATGGACCCTATTTTTCCTTTGTTTTTTCAACCAACTACAATGTATTAAAAAACAAAACAAAAAAGGAAACCATCAGAATCAAAACTGTAACATTACAAATACTTTAAACAGGAAAAAGGGCAAAAAAAAAAAGATAAATGTGTTTGCATGAACAAATGGAAGAGCAAACGGACATCTCTTGCTTTTTACAAGAAATATAAAGAAGGACTTAAAGCGGATTAAACACAAGTAATACATCTTTGCACATGCCCTAATGGTATATGGCATGGCAAACTATAATACTGACAGTACTCACAGCGACAGCATAGAAGTATAAAAAAAAGAGTAGAATTCTTTCCAATGATGTACTGATGACATAAAGGTAAAGCTTTCACTGAAAATGTGTTGTAGGGATGAGTTGTAGGGGCTTTATAATCAAAGCCAAATTCAAAACAAAAGACACAATTTATGGTGATTTAGTCAGCAGATTAAAAGCTTCAATATTTAGGCAATTGACTGTAGGGGTGTATGGCTGAACGCATACATTCCAAAAGTATTGTCCTAACCTAAAGTATAGTTAACGGCAAAACTTTTTTTTTTAGTTTTGGATGGAGTTGAGAAGAGTTAGAACACCTGTCAGTTATTATTGTTGTCTGTGCCCCCCTCTTAGGGAGATTCACCATTATCATCAAAAGTGAAAGTAAAAGAAAGTAAAAAAAAAAAATTTTGAGTTGTACCCAGAAAAGTAATAGAAAAAAAAATTTTCCAATGGGGGCACTAGTTTTGGTGACCCCAATAAATTCCCCTTAATTTGCAGAGATTTTCTCACTTGCTGCTTTGGCTATGGGATAGGAAATGAAGGTAAATCTCCCTAGTGGGACACAGATGGCAAAAAATAAATTGACAGGGGTTACAACCCTCTGTTACTCTATTCAAAATGCCTATAGTTCTACTTTGTCCTGAAAAGTTGAGCTTGTCTCTCCAGGAATAAGTAAGATCAAATTAAAAAATGCTGTTTGAATTTGCTATGTTTTACCTAAAAAAAACACTATATTGCCTTTGATCTTTACTAAGGCTGCAGTACAGTATTTACCATGCATTTACAATGAAATATATGGGGGAATAAACGCAAAGCAAAAACTGATATCAAACTGACTTTACAGGAGAAGTATGAGCAAAGCTACTTCTCCTGTGCATCACAGGAGTGCAGTTAGTTCTGCACTCCTGTGACCTGTTTTCAGCTGAGAGTGGACTAAAGCCGCTTTCAGCTGCTACTGAGAGCTTGAACCAGCCACTGTCACCCTGTCCACAGCCTGGTGCTCCAGTGAGTGCTGGAGGAGCAGAGCAGAGACCTGGTGACTCTCTGCTCACTGAAGACTGAGAACTGAGTAATCAGCGGTTTTTGAGTGCTCAGTTCTCAGTCTTTAGAAGCGTTGGAGGACAGATGCAGCATTGGAGCGATACTGCATCCACCTAGGTGAGTATAGTTTTATTTTTTTTTAGGAAACCCATACTTTTTTTTAACTGATCTGAAATAACTATACACGCTAGGTGGTCTATGTATAACATGTTTGTTGTGCAATGTGGCAAACATCCACACATTAATAATGGGAATAGCTGTGTTTTCTCTAATATATGTAGTTCTTATAGTGCCAGTGCCACCTATTGGACATATTGCTGGTGGTGGTGTGCAATACAGGAACTACATATATTAGAAAAAAATACAGAAATTTTCATTCTAAATGTGCAGATGTTTGTCACATCCACACAACTAACATTTTATAAATAGACTACCTTGATGTCTAAAGTAAGGAGTTTAAGATTTTGTCCAAGAGCAAACAATATCAGTTATATCTGCTCTGAAAAATAATAGGTAGATAATGAAATTCAGGTTACTGTTAGTTTTTGAAGAACAATACTGGCAGCTACTCTTTTTAATATTTGATAAATGACACCATGCACACTGGCTAACTTAAATTGACTTATCAGCCTTTTGCACCTGATTCTTACACACTCTCATCAATAGTGGAGACATGGCAAAAATATACTGGGAACACATTGTTACTATTAGATGGTATTTGTAAAATATGAGCACTACCTGATCGTTGAACATGCATTTCTAAGCATGTACAGTTTGCATTATTCACATGCTATTTGTGAGGTAGAGTATTAAAGGTTATTTTTAAATAATATTTTTGTTGCTGAAATAGAAAATATATTTTCTTATTTGTACATTGTGGGACACATGATAGTATTCTGAAACACTGGGTTATACTCCTACCTTTAAGAGTAGACACTGGCAAAATAAAGCTGTAAGGACAACCCAATATAACCACCCCCTATCTTCGGCCTAGGTGTCTTTATGAAGCCTGGCCTTTCCGGTCAGTCAACTGAGTGTGTAAGTGTTAATTGGAAACTTGCTCAGTCTTTCCTGCCTTCTTCTCACCCACACCATGATTCTCCGGGACACGTGATTCTGGGCTCCTTGATTCCTTCACTGATGGTAACAGGTGGTATTAACTCTTCCTGCTTTGCGGTGTTATTGTGAGCATCCCTAAGGTTGTTCACACACACCTATGCCATGACTGATCATAGGCTGGGGAGGAGTCCTAGGTACCCTCTCAGTATAAGTGACATGGTCACCAGAAAAAGCTTGTCTGACAATCAATATTTTGGAACCCAGGATTATTTAGTTATCCCTGCAACTCAGGACCTGTCATCTGTGATGTAATTTGACCAAGATTTAATCAGACAATGCCAAGGCAATGGCTTATGATTAGCCAAGGAGGAACTAGAACTCTCAATGCTCAAAGACTAGCAGATGTGATTGTGGCTTGAGCAGAACTTCGCTTCCAACACATCTGACTGCCATGCACATCCCAAGCATGAAAAGTTGACAGATGAACTTCCACATTCATCAGTGACTGGACTCTGATGTATGGTCTCTTTACCCTGAGGTGTTTCAAGAACTTTGTCACAGTTGGGGCACCTAGACTTGGACATCCGGGCTCAACAAAAACTCAGCAGGTTTTTCTCCAGATCAAGGGAGCCTTTAGGCTTCACAGTGGATGCTCTGGTGACTCAATGAGATCAGTTCAACCTTATTTATGCCTTTCCTCCTCTGAAGCTCCTTTCTTGTAAACTCTGCAGGTTCAAGATGGGGGCATTTTGGTAATTCCCACAGAACTGAGCTGGCCCAGTAGTATGTGATAACAAGACCCACCAGAATCCTGGCAGAGTCTCCATTGGTCCTTTCTGACTGTGTGGATCTTCTGCCCCAAGGACCAGTTTATCACTCTGTTTCTAGGTTGCTGGCTCTAGCCACTTGGCTGTTCAAGCCTAGGTCCTGAGGTACATGGTCATATCAGAGTCAAGCCTCTCTACACTAGTGTCTGGATGTGGTACATGCTGTTTGAGGCGATCTCCCAGCTTAAGGTTACTTTTGACAGTCCAGCTCTCTGTTTATCTCTATAGGGGATAGCTTGCTTCTCATTAGGTTTATGACCTCAAGGTCAAGCTTCCCTCTTTCCATTTCTAGTGCACTCCACTGACCTACTGTTTGTTAAATTTCACCAGGTGAATGTTCAGGCCTCAGCTAATGCCCTGTTCATTTGCTGTTGCCCACTTCTCAGTTAAACTGCTTTTTGCAGGTCCCAGTATTTCAGAATACTATCCTGTGTCCTGTAAAGGAAAGGGGATTTTTGTCTTACCTGTAAAATCCTTCTTTTAGAATACATTATGGGACATAGGTCCCTCTCCTCACTTCTTATGATCTGCAGTTATCTTTGCTTGCTAGCAGAAGGGGTTATACTGGGCTGTCTTTGCAACTTTGCTTGAAACTGATTCTCCTGAACCCAGTATAACCCAATATTGCAGAATACTATCCTGTGTCCCATAATTTATGCAGAGCAAAGGATTTTTACAAGTAAGACAAAACCCCTATTTTATGACTCCTTTACAAAACATTTGGATTTTGCTCTGTCTGAAACTGCACGTAGGTTGCTCTATTTGCGTTTGTGAAGAATGTTACACCATATGTGGAAAGAGTTGGGTTCTTTGCTTTAATTGGGATTTGCTATATTTACCTCGCATTTGATTTTTCCCAGGGGAACATTCAGATCTCAGCTGACACCTCTGGCTGAAAGATCTTGGAAGAAAAGTGTACTGGTTGTACTATATGTATTTGGACAGTATGCTATTGTTTCCAGAAAACAAAATTGGCACTGGGGATGCCATGCAGTCTGTTTACATTTAAACACATATCTGTGCAGCATATGGGGGAAAACAAAATGAGAAAAAGTATATATCATTAACACCAAATTATTTTTACACTGCCACACAAACACAGACACTTTAGGTATGTGCCTAGTTTGCCTGCAAAATAAATGCAACTTAATATCCTCCACTAACATTAACAACTGTTTCTTTGTTTTAGGACTGGCTGAAAGCTTTGCATCATGAACTCTTTGTGCCTTTAAAGCTTTCGAGAAACTGACTTTCTCACCAAACCTGCTGTCTCCAAAACATAGGATGGGTAGCACCACCATCCTTCCCCGTGGTGCCCTGGCCATGGGGGTGGCGCGCGCCATCCGTCGCTTTAGCACAGAAATTCCGGACCCACTCAGAGAGGAAGAGGAATCAGAGCTGACACAGGGTATGAAGCCAACTGCCTATCGCAATGGGAAGGTACACACAAAGCCTATTCGTCAGCGTACCCGATTTGTACAAAAAGACGGTCACTGCAATGTGGAATTTATTAACCTCAGTGAAAAGAGCCAACGCTACCTGACTGACCTTTTCACGACATGTGTAGACATACGTTGGAGGTGGATGTTCCTTATATTTTCCTTTACTTTTGTAGTTTCTTGGCTTATTTTTGGTTTCTCTTTCTGGCTTATTGCCTCATTGCATGGGGACTTAGCAGCACCACCACCTGAGCCTGGCTCTGAAGAGACCCCACCCCCTCCCTGTTTCTTACAAGTCACCAGCTTCATGGCCGCCTTCCTGTTCTCCTTAGAAACACAAACATCCATTGGATATGGATTCAGAAGTGTGACAGAAGAGTGCCCGTTAGCTGTGTTGACTGTGGTGTTGCAGTGCATTGTGGGCTGTATTATTGATGCCTTCATTATTGGAGCCATCATGGCAAAAATTGCCAAACCCAAAAAGAGAAATGAAACTCTTGTGTTCACAGAAAATGCAGTGATTGCTCAAAGAGATGGAAAACTGTGTCTCATGTGGAGAGTGGCTAATCTTCGCAAGAGCCATCTAGTGGAAGCCCACGTACGAGCTCAGCTTCTACAGGTAAGCAGCAGCATCAATAGTAATTAAATAACCTGAATCAGGTAGCCTCCCTGAACTACCCCCCCCCCCTTCACCACCACCACCACCATGCAATCTAAATTGTTAAAAGTTATTTGTAATATATATATATATATATATATATATATATATATATATATATATATATATATATTGGGGAAAATAATGGTTTGATCCCCTGCAAATTTTTAAGATTGCCCACTTACAGAGAAATGAAGGGTCTATAGTTTTCATCACAGGTGTAGTTTAAATGATAGAGACAAAATATCAACCAAAATCCAGAAAAAACACATGATACAAATGTTATAAATTGAGTTGCAATTCAGTGAGTAAAATATGTATTTGATCCTAAAGCAAAACATGAATACTTGGTGGAAAACCCTTTTTGTCAAGCACAAAGGTAAGATGTTTCTCGTAGTTGGTTACCAGGCTTGCACACATCTCAGGAGGGATTTTGGTCCATTCTTCTTTACAGGTGTTCTCTAAATCCTTAAGGTTTCTTGGCTATCACTTGGCAACTCGAAGTTACAACTCCCTCCATTAATTTTCTATAGGATTAAGGTCTGGAGACTGGCTAGGCCACTCCATGACCTTAAAGTGTTTCTTCCACACAACCATCTTCAGTGTTCTGGCTGAATTGGAACCTCACTGTGACAAAGTAGGCCTGTACCTTTAGCAGAGAACTTGACTGTAGGGATGGTGTTCTTAGGGTCATAGTCAGCATTTTTTTTCCTCCAAACACGGTGAGTTGTGTTAATACCAAAGAGCTGAAATTTGGTCTCATCTGGTCACAGCACTTTCTTCAGTTTGTCTCTGAGTCATTTAGATGTTCATTGGCAGACTTTAGATGTGCCTGTATATGTGCCTTCTTGAGGAGGGGGATCTTGCAGGTGTTGCAGGATTTCAATCCATGGTGGTGTGTTGTATTACCAATGGTTTGTTTGGTGACTGTGGTCCCAACTGCCTTGAGATCATTCACAAGCTCCTCCCGTGTAGTTCTGGACTGATCCCTCACGTTTCTCATGATCATCCTTACTCCAAGAGGTGAAATCTTACATGGTACTGTAGACCCAGATTGATGGATGGTTATTTTGTATCTCTTCTATTTCCGAATATTCGCTCCAACAGTTGTCTCATTCTCACCAAGCTTCTTGCTGATGGTCTTGTAGCCCATTCAAGCCTTGTGCAGGTCTGCAAGCTTGTCCCTGACATTCTTTGACATGTCTTTGGTCTTGCCCATGGTGTTGCCCAAATTATGTGGACAAGTGTCTTTTATACACATAACGAGTTGTCATTAAGAGCACCTTCTTATTTTGACAGGACTAATCTGTACTACATGAGCACATAGCCAGTCTGTGGGAGCCAGAATTATTGTTGGTTGGTAGGGGACAAAATTTTTTTTTTTTCTTCACTGAACTGTAACTCAATTTATAACATTTGTATCTTGTATATTTTCTGGATTTTTGGTCTCTATCATTTAAAATACACCTATGATAAAAATTATAGACCCTTCATTTCTTTGAAAGTGGGCAAACTTACAAAATCTGCAGGGGCTCAAATAATTATTTTCCCCACTATATATATATATATATATATATATATATATATTTTTTTTATATGATAGCTACTACAGTACGTTATTGTAGGGGCTGTTGCGCAAAGTTGGGAATTGATAAACAATAGCATTAGCAGTCTAATCAGCAGGGCCATGGATAAGGGGGCACCACCAGTTCTTTTGTTCAGGGCCCAGGCACCTGGGTGAATCAGATGTGGGCAGGGAGGGCGATCGGCACAATGGGGGGCAATTGTTGGAAACTAATTTCCTGCATGTCTCTCTCTGCAGCAGCTGAAAGCTGCCTGCTTCTTCCCTCCCTCCTGCTGGCTTTTAGCTGCTGCAGAGAGAACCATGCAGAAATCAGTTCCAGTAATTGCCCCTCTCGGTGCACCCCTCACCCTCTTTGTGCACCATATGTTTCCCCCGCTGCTAAGTCCCCCTGTGTTCCCCCACCCCTCACAGTGCTGCCGGCTTCCCACTGGCAGCTGCAAGCACACAAAAGAATCCTTCAGGATGATGAGTGGGGGAAGGGTTCAGTAAATATGTTACATTTACTAGCCCCTTCCTTTCCTGAATGAACACAGCTGGAGAGTGCAAAATCAGGTGCACTTCAGCACAGAAATCAATCAGCTTCCAGGTTTTATTGCCAAAGCTTAATTGAACAAGCTGAGGTTAGAAGCTGAATGGCTACCCTGCACAGCTGCACCAGATTCTGAGTAAACCAGTTTTAGTAAATCTTCCCCAATGAGTGATTGGTACTGATCACTCACTGTGTTCAGTCCTAACTGAAGCATAGTAAACTGGGTTTATTTTGCTGGGGGGGGGGGGGGACCTGTCAGATTGCTTGTATGGTTTCTAACAGCAGCCCTGCTTATTGGTTTAAAAACAATCTGCAAAGAAATAAAGGTTCCCAAGAATTAGAAGACAGAAAATAGGATTGATCAATCTTTTTTTTTGTAGGTGTAAACGATAAATATGAATAAGTATGTCAGGACATAAATGGACACTAGAGAAACAGCAGTTAAAGTATGTACACTAACCTATACTAACAACTCTAAAACCAGCTTTCATAAGACTTTGTATTTTATTTTGTAGTACTATCCTTTATTTTTTTCCTCCTGAATATTAATAAAGAGCCTCTGTTACAAATATTCCTACCTTAATCCTCGCTCCCCTGACAGCTGGCTCTTTCCCCTGCTTCCAAAGTTCCTGGAATATAAGCAGTTCCTTGGCATCCTCATGTTAAGTGCAGAAGCACTGGTCCTACATTGTATGCACTCATGTCAGAAAGCTGCAACTAGTTGTGCAACAAAGAGGAATAACTTTGGGGGACCAGTCTTACAATAAGCAGGAAGCGTATAGGAGCAATGAGGAAAAGAAGTATTTCACATTATCCCAATCCCCTGGACAAAATGAGCATTCAACCCTTGCAGTAAGGATGGGGGCCCACTGCAAGAGTAACATCTTCAACAGTTCAGAGTTTAGAGTGGAGTTCTCTGATGGATTTGGTAAAATGCCTATTTTGTTTCCTATTGAATATATATATATATATATATATACGCTATTTCTATAAGTTTTATAAATATTTACTTTTATACTTTAATACATATGTTGTGGAATATTTTCTGCCTGCTGGGCTTTGTGGTACTATAAGAAATCCTTGCTTAAGAAATGTCTGCTCACACACACAGACCCCCTCCCACCGTGTGATTTGGGAAACAAAGGAATGTTTTTCTCTCTTTAAGATAAGACTGAAGAAGATCACACCTATACCATGACGGAGATTGTTTTTGTGTAAAGTGACCAATCAAAGACTAATATAATGCTTATGCTGTTATCACGTGATGTTCGCATCATTTTTCATATATAAACTCACGGTTTCATTTCAATAAATTAGAGAGAAGTTTTCACAGACCAAACGTGTCAGTGTGAGTTTCTTCATGTGCGCACATTCCAGAAGCTGGCCAGCATCATAAATTAGGACAGGAACAGATAAGCACTGGACGATTAGGTCCGCAACTAAATCAGTTCCACCTAAAAAAAAAAAAAAAGTTTTTGTAGCTGCTGTGAACACCTGTTCCAGTAATATTTATACCACCGGGTACAAGTGACATTATGCACCTTCAGTCTAAATGCATGTACTCCAGTGTATGGCCTTCCTTAGACCAACTGTCATGATGGTGACAAATTTAGATTACGCCTGCATATTGTGTGAAACGGCCACTTGTTGTCTCCATTGGAACCTTGGGTGATAGGGTGACATATCAGGAGCACAATTACGAGACTGTGGCAGAGTGATAATACTCTACAACAGGAAGAGCCTGAACAGGGACTCATGGCAGGATCACCTGTCATTATTTTATGAAAGTTGCAGATTTTAAAATACTAAAAAAATTATTATTGAAATTAATTTTTTTAAGATAATATGAAATTTTAGTGATTTGGTTTATAGACTTTTTAAACTGGTCATTTGAAGGTACCCAGCTTCAGGGCCTAAAACCTGTAACCTTGTAATTTATCTGTTATGTCAGCAGATGGTAAATTTGAAAGGTGAACTTTAATGTAATTTTATTAGAGCCAATAACCCTGTTTGTTTGTGGGTCAGACTGTCAAGCAATGACCACTTCATATTACTTCAAAGAGAATTTGGAATCATTTAGGCAGATATAGTAACTCTCCTTTAAAATGAACTAAATCAGTTTGTTATGTACAATACGAGGGTCTCTAGAGGGGTACAATAAACATATTTACAGGATTATGAAAGTACTGGTATATATATATATATATATATATATATATATATATATATATATATATATATATATAGTCCCCAGGTTACGAACAAGATAGGTTCTGTATGTTCGTCATTAAGTTGAATGTGTATGTAAGTTGGAACAGGTACATTTTAAGTGTACCTTCAGCCCAAAAAATATTTTTTAATTTTGGATAGCATAGGGAAAGGTTAATTGTTCATGTAGTGATGTGGTATTGCTGACAGATCCATTGAACAGTAGGTGGCAGCATGCAGTGAACAGCAAGATGGTCGCCCAGTGGTTTCCAGGACCAGCATGACATCACACTGCCTCCGTTCTTATATATGAGTCGTATATAAGTCAGATGTTTGTAACTCGGGGACTGCCTGTATGTATAAAACATTGCAAAAGAAAGCCATATCTATGCTGAAAAAAACTGCCAAAATTAGATTGGATATTAGAAACCATATGGCAGTTATTAACAAAATTATTTTTAATATCAATCAAAGCTTTACACAAATCATTTACATAGCTCTGGGGAAAAATGCAACACATACCTCTAGGGCCAAAGGATAGTAAATTAGAAGTTATAGCATAAAGTTTGCTTTGTTGAAGGCCCAGAAAGCATTCATGTCAGTGAAACAGCACATGATGACATCATAATACTGTGCCAT